AGACGGGTGGAGGAGGAGGTATGGAAAGATGGAGGGAGGAGAGAGAGCTAGAGGGAGGCGGTAAAATGCCAGATGGTGGGACTACAGGACTCAGCATGGGTGATGGATGTTGGGACGATAGAAATAACAAGACTGGGAGCGAAATAAGGACGAGGGAAATGTTATGCGTGTAATGACGTGAGATGACTAGAGGGAAAGACTTTCCCTCTAATTCCACTTTCAGATTCCTCTCATGCTTTACATCCGCCCGCCCACCTTTCCTGGAGATGATTCTGGCCAGGAGCTGTCTCAGGCTGTTGCGAGCGTTTACTTCCTCCTTGAGTTGGTTGTAGTTGACTAGGGGCCCTGAGGGGAGCTCCGGGGCCGAGCGGGCCTGGCGGGTGTGGAGGGACGAGGGGGGAGGCAGGTCATCCAACACGAGAGCCTCACCCTCGGCTATCTGTGACTTTAGAGGACGAGAAAAACAGAGAGATGAGGAAAAGGTCTAAAACCAAACCTGAAATATATAAGTGTATCTACCTCAACCCATTAAGAATAAGCACACTTGTGTTTCCCAAAAACACATCCTCATGCTAAATACTTAATGAATTTGTGTAGGATTAAAACATATACCACTTTCTGTTGTACCTACTGTTTATGAAGAGACTGTATAATGCAAGTGGTGCTGAATAATTCAGGTTTGACATTATTTAGCAAATCCATGCAGACAGATTTCAGGACAGTTCTAGCTACAGTATGTGTGTGCGTGTGTGTGTGCGTGTGTGTGTGTGTGTCTTACCATGGACTGTGAGGGCAGACTCAGCGAACTGCTGGACAAAGCCGCCAGGAGAACACACACACAGATACCTATATTCATGACTGGAGAGAGAGAGCGAGAGAGAGAGGGAGGGAGAGGGGGACAAAATGCAATTAAAATAAATCCTCTACATCTTTGTGGTCATTTTCTTATTAGGCCACTCATTGCTCTTTACTGTCTCTCCACTGGCTGCTGTTCTCTTTTATTGTCTCCCTTCAGCTCGTTCAGTGTGTGACTCTGAAGGGGAAAAATCACAGGCAATGTAGGTTTTTGCAGAAAGCAGCAATAAATCTATTTTACAGTCGTTAAAACACAGCAGTGGGGGGGGGGGGGGGGGGGGGGG